AACAGCAACTTGTCTGTTCCCCTTCCTTCAATTCCCCAGCGCTGTTCCCATCCCCCCAATTCCCCAATAAAAATCTTAAAAAAAAAAATCATGGAAGATTTAAAGATGGCGACAGCAGCATGTTAAATCAAGCACAGGGACCCTCTAAGCAGGAGGCCCTATGTGATAGCACAGGTGAAACACACCCATGAAGCCGGTATTGTCCCCAGGCCTCAAGCTCAGGTAGGGAATTAGTCAGCAAACTCTAACTTTCCTAGGGGCCCTAACGCCATGGTTGGGTAATCAACCTCTGCCTAAAGGACCAAGATGCCTTAAAAGACAAGATCCTATCCTTCCAAACCATAGGGCTGAGATACAAAAGGCACCGAGGGTGGGAGGGACTGGGCTACCTGATTCACTAGAAAGGATTTCCAGCTGTGGCCAGCTTCAGGAGCTGAGCCCTGAATTAACCAGTCAGCTGTTCCCTTCTTTCCTCCCCTCCCACCCCCGCCCCTTCTAAGGCCTGGGAATCCCATCCCGGGAGTCTTCGGAGAATGTGGAGTGTGGAAGGAAGGGGATATAGAGTTTAAACATTGAGAATTATTCAACTTAACGTTGGTTGGCCAGAAACCCGGGTGTGCAAAATCATTCCCCACCTCCTCCTCCCTTTTCCTGGCTTGGCATCATTTTACTGCTCAGAGTCATCAGAATTTCAAATTGTCCAGTCGCTGCTTGGTGTCCTCATACCTCTAACCTTCCCTTTTTGACGCTTTTCATGGCCCTTCTTCCTCCACCCCAGCCTAAGTTGCTGATGTTCTCCAAGTTTTGTTTTTAGCCTCTTCCCGTTTTGATCCATGCAGCCATCTTGAGCAGTGTCACCTACTTTTGTAGTATCAGTGGCCACCTCTCAGCAACTCTCAACAGGGCACAGGGGAGGAAAGGGAAGCCTAGAGGAACCATCTAGAGTCACCTGGTGAGGATGGCTTTTCAGTTGGTGACACCACCATTTGCTCAGTCATCCCAGAAAGAAACTTAAAGTCATCCTTGAAGTTTCCTGGCCATCCTCCCACATCCAATCAATCTCTAAACTTTTAAAATTATCTCTCCAATTCCCCACTTCTTCTCCCTTTTTACTCCACTTTCCCGATTCAGTTCCTAATCACATCCAAGGGCCTGGATCCTAGTGAGTCCCCTTTCTCTGGGAACCGCCCTTCTGAAAGGGCACTGAAAGTCATCAGGGAAAGGAGTTTTTCTCTCTGATTCCTGGGAAGCAATTAAGATTCAGACAATCAGGTCGTAGAGCAAAATTGAAGGACTAAAGATAAGGATATCTGGAGAGAGCTATGTGGCTGGTCCCCTTAGGGTGAGCTCAGAAGCTGAAAATATTCAAACATCATGAACAGGTTTACCAGAAGTCCCCCTGTAGAAGAGGCTGACTAGGGCTCAGGAAACAAAGCATCCAGAGAGGCAGGAATAGAGCTTACGCATGAGAGGAACAGCATGAGTTTCCCTTCATTAAAGCCAGTGTAACTCCACCAATGAGCCAGCAACGGTGACAACCCTGAGCCCCTCATATAACACCAGAGCTCAAGGCAACCAGACAGCTCTCTGGTGGCAGGTCAATGGAAGGGACAGAGACTTGTCACTGGAATAAGCACTTATTCAGGAATTGGATTTGTGTTTCTTGCCTGTCATGTCCCTGCCATCTGTGAACTTATGGGATGTCTTCTAGTTGGCCACGGTATCCTAGACCACCTAGAACAGCGGTTCTCAACCTTCCTAATGCCGCAACCCCTTAATACAGTTCCTCATGTTGTGGTGACCCCCAACCATAAAA